AGATGATTATTGATTTAAATATCAAAATGTGTATCTTAAAATTTAGTCTCGGAGCTTTGCAAGTAGTTTGGGCCGCCGAAAGTGCTAATCAATTCTGTGCAATCACATGCCTGAAATGACCATACGAGATTTTTTGGCATTAAGACATGACTTTCTAAAATGGAATGATAGCTGTATCCATTGTCGGGTTCAATTATTTAAAGTGGCTCTAGTTATCGTCACATAAGATATTATTAAGATTACTTACGTATATAATTCTATGTTAAATTACATTTTCACTCAATGTTCAAAAAGAAAAAAAAAAAAATTATATTCTCACTCACTCAATTTACGAAGATATATATCTCTATAATTTTGGCTTTATCACTTTTCTCCCTTTCTGTCTCCTTTCCCAACACATGGGCCTGGTCACGTCTTATCTCTAGCTCCAGCCAATCAAAGTTCTGACTACACAATCCAATTGTATTATCCATTGCCTATTTTCCAAAAAAAAAAAAAAAAAACCAATTGGATTAATGTACGGAGGCAATATCCAAAGAAATTCTACATTCTTCATCAGCAAAAACTTTTATCTTAAAGAAAATTTTAGGTTTTTCCTTTGAAATAAATCAAATGGATGGAGATTGAGAACCTTATATCATTAGAGCCCTAACAAGAATTTATTGAAAAAAATGAATGTGGTTGTTTACCAAAAAAAGAAACAAAATGAATGTGGTACCTTCAGTGCACTTTTATGTAATATCCCCAAGAAATTGGAAATGAATCTCTCTGAATTAATCCCCACCACCAAGAAATTGTGGTCCCTTCTGTAAATGAATTTTTCGGTAGAGGGATTTTGAAGATGAAAAGTGGTGGAATTGCGAGGGAGATGACAAGTGATCTCGGCGGTGTGTCGGGAAAGGAGACAAGAAAGGATGAAAGTAGCGAGGATAAAGTTGAAAAGATTTATAACTCTTTAAAATAAGAGGTGAAAATGTAATTTAACAAAATAAAAAATGAAATATGTGTCCTTAATAATATCTCATATTTCATGTGTAGGGATGGTAATTTTTTTTTAAATCCGTAAAATTTTGTGGAGATCC